ATGTTGACAGATCTCCCCTATTTTCCCCCCTTGAGCCGCCACTAAATCTACATTTCTAATCTTATATGAATTATGTCATACCGTGGGTGGTTTGGGAGAATTTGAAGAAACTTTAATTATTAAATATTTCTAAATGTGGAGAAACATTTTTTAATCCGACATTCTTTAGAGAAAGTCGGGAATTATGACGAAATGAAAAGGAGAGGTTGGAAAAATAAGATTTAAAGAAAAAACTAAATAACCACGCTAGGATATTTATATAATACCTGAACTATACAGCTCATAAAGCATGTATTCCCTAGGTTTATTAGTCCCCGTAAACCTAGTTTAGAATTCTCAGAGAACTCCCGTTTCTCAGGGTGCAGCCGAAGCAACGCAACCTCCTGGAATACACTTGTACAATGTGTACATAACTAATAAACATTGAGAACGTGTGTAGTATAATTGAATATTAATTGATTACTTAATTATAAAATTAATTAATTTTTATATTTGATTAGGATTATTTAACAATTTCGGTGATAAATTAATTGATAACTTCTCTAGTGGTCTTAAGTCCTCATTTGTATTGGGAATGGATTATGAAAATATAAAACCTTTCCTCCGAATAAAGGCACTAAACCCATTTTTCCTCATACAAACAAGTCGCCCACTGCAAACTAGAGTTAGACCGAACCAAGGTACTAATGCAAGGAAAGTTATTTCAGCGGTGTACGCATTTTTTGTAATGTCTTTGGGCGGAAAAGTAAACACAAGACGGATGTCACAGCCTGACATGGAATCCATTTTCACACAAATAATCTATGAAATAATCTGGTCATAGGAAACTATAAAGTGAATTTTCAAAATTAAATGCTTTTAACCTCCTTGGATACTGCACGAACACTGATGCATCTATTCTTGTTTACAAAGTCCGCCCAGAGAGAACTAGTTTCAATATGTTCAAAGAGTATACGCGACCGCATTTAACTTTCCTTGCATTAGTTCCTTGGACCGAACGAAGAGGTGTAACATGTTTGCGACAAGTATAAAAGAAGCAATTTTTTGGGCTACATGTAAAAAAATAAAAACATTTTTGTCGTTCTCAATAGCTCCGCAATTATAGAAGTTCTGATTGGAAACATGTAAAATTACAATCTTTCGTACAATTTTCTTTGGTTTGACGTGGACCAGGGGTAATAAATTTCATTACATCCTCCCTCTCTCCTCCAAAAATCCCTCATGAATATACCTTAGCTGTCGGTTTCCAGGACTGATAAATAGTTCCTAATCCTAGGTTGGCGTGTGAAGCAGAAACCAGCTGATCTGATATACTCTGAACAAAATAAAGTAATAATAACGTAATTTTATTTTACATAAAATGATAAAAATAAATAATACAAAATGAGGTCTACAATGTAAATGCTGTTTTTTGAAAAAAAACACGCCCGAATAAGCTTAAAGTTAGAATATTTTAGTAAAAATATAAAAAAAAATTATGTTGCCATTTTCCACATTTACTTTACATTTGTACGTAAGAATATTTCTGAAAAAATTAAGTATTGGACATTGTTTACCTTTTTATATACTTTACCAAACCATAAATTTGTTTTCCCCTATAATTAACAATTCAGTTGCCTGAATTCAAGGAAAACTAAATCTAAACATTCTTTAAATAAATGGGGAGAAAAATCATTTTTGAATAATTTTAAAGAAAATATAAACCCCTACGATCCTTTCTTCTTCTTCTTTTCCTCTATATTCTTCAATACCTTTTCCTCTATCTACTCCTCTTCCTTTAATTTTAAATTGTTTGTTTTATTCTGTTTTATTTAAATTGAACATGGATGTATCGCTGCAGAAGGGCCTCTCATTCAAAACAACCAACAATGATTTGAGAGGCCCAGACTAAATCAAAATGTAAAAATTGTACAATTGTAATTGTTTTTTATTATTAAAATATTTAGTCAAATATATATCTATTATCTATCTATCTACCTATGTAATATTACCTTAAGCTCTGTATCATGAACATAATCTTTACAGATAGCACACCAGATATTCCCGTATTGCATATCCACCCACAACCAGTGCTGTTCCTTCTCCTTCAGGTGGTCTTTAAACAAATAATCCTTTGTTTTTAACCTTTGTGACAGAAACAATCTCAAGAACTGACGAGAGTCAACCCAGACCGAAATATATTATGAATTAATGTGGAACAAATAGGTTTGGTCCATCGCCATCACCGAATTTTAAAAAATAATCCTAAATTAACTTTCTTTCAGGGGTATTTAGTAACTGATAGTTTCTTAAAAATCATTAATTAATTTTAGGGAAGAAAGTTTATGTAAGGGTGACTAATAAGGAAGGTCTATTTTGGTAATTCCACTTGCTTCACCCAGAATAGCATAGATATTGGTTATTAAAACGTCTTTAATAAAAGTTAGTGACAAAAACGTTTTAAAAAGTAAATTTTGTTAGTTCTAAAAATAACCAGTTTTTGGGATTCAGCTCAAACAATTGTGAAAATATCAAAAAACGAAACAAAGACCCTTGATTAGCAATTTAGGACGGATCTTAAGATACCCAAAATTAGCATGCGCTAAAGGTTTTTTTTCAGGAGATTTTTTTGTAATATTCTTTTCCTCTAAAAGTCAAATTTCTCATACAAAAATTTATTGGGGGGGGGGACCCATGTAGCCTAAAAATAAGCGAAATAAGATAAAACTCAAGGTTTTGGTTTTCAAGAGTTTTTTGTAATATTTTTTTCCCTTTAGAAGTCAAATTTGTCATACAAAATTTTTTTTTTTTGGGGGGGGGGGCAAAGAATGGTAAATAAATTTTAGCCGACACATAAGCGAAATAAGATAAAACTTTCTTGTCTAATCTATATATATATTTTGCTTTTCTGTCTGTCTGTTTGTGTCCAATAAACGTCAAAACGACTAAATCGATCAGGTCCAAATTTTGTGTAAAATCTGACATGACCTTAGGGAAAGTTTTAGATGCTCAAAATAAAAAAAAAAATGTGTTCTAAAGTATTTGGTTTTTGTTAAATTTTGAACAAGCGCAAAAAATATAATCTAATCCGCGAACTTTTTGTCTATATTGTACAAACTACAAAAAGAGAAAGTGCTCACAAATAGAGTAACAATTAAAAATTGAAAGAAAAGATGGGTGCAAATAAATATTTATGGGCTAAGCTAGGGGACCGGGCGCTGCGGCCACAAGTCCACATAGCAGCTGTAAACCCACGTGCTAGTAGGTCGAATGTGTAGCATAGCGGATTTGGCGTAGGTCAGAAGTGGAGTATAGCGGATTTGCGTAGGTCGAAAACTACACCATCATACTTATGAACTGAATCCGGATACTCGAATTCCGGATCAATTATTTTAAATGACCTTTCCGGGTCGAAGTGGACTCAAACTAACGAAGCAAACATTTTTTACCTGCCATGTGTTGACCCCAACAGCCAAAGTAAACACAGGAAAGACAGCTGTGAAGTCGGTTTCCTGAGTTTGCGTGGCAGAGGTGACAAAAACTGAACTTAGCCTTTTTCCTAGGAAAGAGTTTTATAAAATTTTAAAAGACGGGTACTAATAAAAAGGTGGTTTACGAAGACTGTGGATTTAAATGAGATCAAAACTTTTAGATCAGATTTATAAAACCCTTCAAAAAACAAAAATTAAAAAAACGCTGTCAAGACAAGATCTGTTTTAAATAGTCAAATATTGTAAATTTTGTGATAAGGTACTAAAATATATCTTTTGAAGTCAGACTGATAAAGTTTTTCCTTTATTATTATATTCCAGAGACGACCATTCAAAACACAAGCAAGAAAATGCTTAAATTCGAATTTTTTCCACTGAGTTTGTTGGGTTCAGGGTAATTTCTCGAAGAAGGATTTTTGGCCCACCTCCACCAACCACCCACTTCGTAAAATAAAAATATTCAAAGTATGACTGTGGCAACAGCGCCCGGCCCTAAAGTCTGTCCAAGCCGCGGCGCTCGTCCCTTATACTGTCCTAGCCACGCCCCCAAATTCTGTCCTTACTACAGCGCTTGGCCCAAAAGTGTCTCAACCTAACCTGGAATAAACAATGTTTGAATTTCTTTTTTATGAAGGAGGGGGTGGGGGGTTCTGTAAATCTTTCATGAGGATTGAACCGAATTCTTTCCTTGTAAATAATCTCTACATCTCGCGTAAACAAATTCTAACTTATGGAAAAATAATTATTAAAAATGAACCTGCGGGCAGTCCTGTGTATTGGAGAAATGAACCAAGAATGGATGGTTTTATAATCCTGGATTAGTCCTTGCTCTTTAAAGGATCGAAGGTGAAGGCAACCTTCCAAAGTATCCATCTTCAAGCAAAACAAATAAGAAACTCTGAAACATAACTTTATGAACTATCATTGAATGAAAGCGAAAATACGCGGGCCTGTCCTCAGACCGATTTTTGGACCCCCCTCCCTCTTTTCAATTTTGTACATGGATCTCATATGTAACATATGGACATAATTGGTCATGTGGTCGCAGCGTCCGGCCCCCTAGCCTGTCCTAACAGTAGCGCTCGGCCCCCTGGCCTGTCCTTGCCACAGCGCCCGAAGTGTCTTAACCTAACCTAACTCTAAACTGATAAAAACAAATGTAAGACATGTGGCCACAGAGCTCTGCTCCCTAGCCTGTCCTAGCCGCAGCGCTCTGCCCAGAAAGTGCCTTAACCTAACCTAACCCAAAATAATACAAAATAACTTAAAATAAAAGGTCATG